TTTCGTATCGGTGGTATCTCGCAAATGACAGGAAAATCAGTCGTTATTCTAACGAAATACTATGCCTTTAGTCACAAGAAATAATCCTTTAATAAAGTCAGATGTTTTTATATTTCACATTACTTATTATAAAGTATAAGTTTATATGAGACACGTACTTCTTAATTAAATTAATCTTTTATTTTTATCGAAACACGGGATGGAGCTCTTGGTTTCGGAGCTGGCGAGCCGGGTTCAAAGCCATGCGATTCCATAAAATACTCCCTGCACTTGTGGGTGCGTTGTGAAAGTGACAGTCAACCACTTAGGGTTAGTAGTTCTAAATTAGGAATGGCGATAGACAGCATTACTAGCTCTGCCCCAAATACAAAAATACAGATTTAGGGTTTGCATACTGAGTTTTGAATCTTGAAGTTACACTGAGATTATGTTTTAAATATTTAAGTAAATAAGCTTTAAAATATTAGTTTTTTATCAGTCGTGTTTTAAATGATATTATTGAGCAGTTTCACGTTTAATTAACCTGCTCACTAAGATCGCAGTAGGTTTAATACTGTCACTTGTAGGGATGGGTTTATTCTATAAAATTCAGAGCATATCACAAATGAAAAATTATATGTATATATACATGAATTTATCTTAAAAGCGTAATTTCCTTTCAATAATTCAATGTGTCTTTCTAAAGTACGCCACGAATATTAACATGTAATATCAAATTCACTTCACTCTGGTTCTTATTTTGGTATAAGTGACTGTATTTCGACGTGTCATATAAACAAAATTTGAGTATACGATTTTCAGGAAAAATGCCCAATCATGCCAAATATTTACATGGTTTCAAGTAGGTTTGTTTTTTGTCTATTAGTTTTCCCCTTAAAATTGTTCAACGAGTCTATCTGCGACGTGTCCGCCGCAGGGATCGAGCTCATAATTCCAGCGTTATGACTGAAGCACGTGTTTACACTTCATAGCTCACGAGATCTCGCATGGCCTTATGGTTAGGACGCTAGATTCGCAGTCTAGGGGTCGCGAAATCGAAGCACGTCATCGAACATGCTCGATAAAGAGTAGCCCGAGAGTTGGCGATGGGCGGTGTCCTTCTCCTCGCCTATCACTTCAAAATTGGATAGATATCTCTACAGTAGCTTTCCTGGAAATTCGACAAATAAATAAACATAGCGTCGGGGCTAGTGTGTGTGTTTTCTCATAGCAAAGCCACTTCGGGCTATCTGCTGTGCCCACCGAGGGGAATCAAACCCCTGGTTTTTGGCGTCATAAATCCGTAGATATATCGTTGTCCAACCGGGAGACTCGAGCCTAGTGATATTCTGTAATATCGGTTACCATCAATCGTCACTCAACGTGTTAGTAGAAAAACAATCCATTGAGATTTACAAGCAGTCATAAAAAAAAATTGGCAAGTGTTTGATTAACTTATGAGATTAGGAGGTTTTAATGATCTATCTAGCCACGTGACTTACTATTGTTTTAAATATTCAGAACTCGATCAAAGAGAAGTAATAATCGCTTAAATTACTCCCTCAAATGTATTTTACGTGTAAATTGCCTCGTACAAAATTACCCAAACTTCGTGATGTATCAAATTATTTGTTTGACCCAATGATACAATGATAGACCTAGTATTCAAACCAGGAACACAAATTATATTAAAACAAACCAGTTTAAAAAATACTCGCTTAAATGTTAGGGGGGGGCGTATTTTCTTATCATCGATATAGCTGGAAGAGAGTATGTTTGTTGTTAAGCACGTAGCTAAACAATGGGCTATCTGGGAGGTCGTATTTTCTTATCATCGATATAGCTGGAAGAGAGTATGTTTGTTTGTTGTTAAGCACATAGCTAAACAATGGGCTATCTGGGGGGGCGTATTTTCTTATCATCGATATAGCTGGAAGAGAGTATGTTTGTTTGTTGTTAAGCACATAGCTAAACAATGGGCTATCTGGGGGGCGTATTTTCTTATCATCGATATAGCTGGAAGAGAGTATGTTTGTTTGTTGTCAAGCACATAGCTAAACAATGGGCTATCTGTATCTGTGCTCTGCCCCCACACGGGTATCGAAACCCCGTTTTTAGCGTTGTAAATCCGAAGACTTACCGCTATCCCACCGGGGGACCTGGGAGAAAGATCTGCATAGCTCGTGTTATGTTACCCAATCCTAAGCTATTATACTCTTCCTTATGTTATGTTTTATGTAATTACTTTATTTTTTTACGTTTAATGAGGGGTTCTTTTATGAACAAAGTGTTCTATTCGTATTTTATTATTAACCCTAGAATTAGCGGTTCAAGTGATGATCATCGGTTCTTTGAACATATTGTTATAAACTATTTATGTGTTTATGCACCAAATTGCACAACAATATGAACAAACAATACTACAAATATTGTTGCAGGGGTTCGCAAAAATGAATGAAATTGTTCAATCTTCTTTGACAAATTATTATATATCATTATTATTTATTTATATATAATTTTTTTTTTGCGCATAGTGCTGTAGCACACAAAACATGAATTTACTCAATGACAATAACTGGATACCCTCCGGTAGTGAATGCTATGAAAACGAGGTTTAAATGAAACATTTTAGTGACAGTAAGCTGGACAGAAATGATCCAATTTCTCCAGAAATAGCTAATATTATAGATTATGTTATAAAATTATAGCAATGGAACATAAGAGCCTAACACTCAGGGTAGAGTAGGGGACACGCCTTTCCCATTTTTTTTTCAGTTAGTTTACATACACTATTATTAACAACTATGTTAGATTGATTTAGCCCCCCTCCCATCTCCACCACACCCTTTCCAATAAAGTTAGGCAGGCATGCAATAGAATGACTTAGAATATTCTTTAACTTAACGCCTTCTTTGTTAATCTCTGCGTATCATGAAACACGATAGTGGTTCATAATAGGGATCGCAAGGAATTGCACAAAAGCCTAACAGAACGTTCGGGCAAAAAAGCACCTTAAACAGTAAAGACTCAGTTCAAACAACACTTTAAAACCTTCACTATTGACTGCTAAGGCTGTACACATATAAAAATGTAGAAAATAGATCTCATGTTAGACTTACAAGGAAAAGAAATCCGCTCAAAACGGCCAGTTTGTAATTCTTCTTCTTATAATTATTCTCTTGTTAGCCTACAACAAAAAAGGGATTCGTATGTTGCACTCAAGCCTTTTGCAGAATACTGAATAAGGTACTTCGAAGGTCGTGGAGGGTATTGAAAAACAGATTTGTTTCTTTTATATTTTACATAAGCTAAAAACATCATAATTTTAATATCTTACAAACAGCTCTGCTCAAACTATAAATCCCTATTTTGACTCCACGAAATGTAACTCTAGGTAACAGCATGGAACCAAAATAGGGGTTTGTAGTTTGAGTAAATAATGTCTGCAGTATCTCCAACCTTGTTTGCTTAATTTTTTTGTTTACAATCTCCATTTGCAGGCTTCTAAATTCCCAATTTTTTATTTATCTTGTAAATATAATATTCCACGGAGACCTCGTACACAGGAGTTTGATATTTACTGTCACGAAATATATTCATTTAAAAAAAAGAAAACAAAAGATGAGCAATTTTGTATAATGGATTTCATTATATAATCCGTCAGGAATAAAGTCACCACTATTATTTCGTAAAACAACAACAATGATGTTTATCTTTGGGCTTCTGTTTCCTCTCGTGTTTTTTTGTGTTGAATTTGTCATAAATCAATTATTTCTGAAACCTTTAACAAAAAAAGTATTGTACAAAACTGGTGACCCGGCATGCCCAGCTGGTGAGAGAGCTCGATTCGCAATGGCGCCACGTTCTTTACAGATCGATATAAAATCTTTCTAATACATCCATCGTTCTCTCGGCCCGACATGGTCAGGTGGTTAGAGCGCTCGACTCGCTATCTGCGGGTCGTGGGTTCGAATCCCCGTTCTACCAAACATGCTCACCCTTTCGGTCGTGAGGGCGTTATAATGTGACGGTCAATCCCACTATTCGTTGGTAAAAGAGTAGCCCAAGAGTTGGCAGTGGGTGCTGATGACTAGCTGCCTTCCCTCTAGTCTTACACTGCTAAATTAGGGACGGCTAGTGCAGATAACCCTCGTGAAGCTTTGCACGAAATTCAAAACAAACAAACAAAACTGGTAATTTACAAATACGATAGTAAATAATTTCAGGAGTCCATAGTTTACTTACATACAGGAGTCCATAGTTTACTTACATAAAGGAGTCCATAGTTTATTTACATACAGGAGTCCATAGTTTACTTACATACAGGAGTCCATAGTTTACTTACATACAGGAGTCCATAGTTTACTTCCATACAGCAATTTAAATCACTTAGGGACAATGACGTGATTTACTCCTGTATCATGAACGTTTCTTCCCATTTTCAAACTTATCTGATATTAATAAAAGTTATCTTTTTTTGTTTGCTTGTTTCTGTTTTCCGCGTAGACTATACATATTTCAAACACTTGTGAGACGGGGTTGAAGTTTTACGACTTAATTAACGGGTGACAGTCGATTTCTGAGAACACATCTTAATAAATACCGATATTTCGCATGTTCATCAGGAACTATAAAGTGCTTGTTGACCCCCACAAAGACTGACTAGGTTTTTTTTCTGTTTACCAGCCGAAGAGCGATTTTTACTCGTTCAAGAAAAACAAACAAAATAAATAATCCTAACCACGAGAAATGTATGATTAAACCAATTTGGAATTTCAAATAAATAACAAAAGTTTATCACGATTCTAATTTGAAGTTTGTTATTTAAGCGAAGCTCTCCCGTGGTGCTAACCCTATAGTGTTCCGCCATGTTCTCATCCACTCAGGTGCTATGAAAATATCTAATAAATCTTCACAAAGAATCGTATTTTAATATGGATTTTGAGTGGGTATATTTCGGTTATTTCAATTATTCCTCTTCCACGATCCAGCATCTTAATCGACAATATTTCTTTACTTACCTACAACATGTAGAATCTCAGAAAAAACAAACAGACTTGTCATTCACGAGTCCAAATTATAGCACTGGTCCAAACCGCCAATTTTCCTTCAGATTTCTTTCTTTCCACTACTGTTGTTTATTAAACTATAATATCTATGTGAGGGTAACACAAACTTGTTACCCCCTTGACCGTCAGGACCTCTATCTACGTCATCAAGCAGGTTAGGAGGCTATGTTGTACCAGGTGTACTGATAAATATATTACGTAAGCTTGAATGAATGTCTCTGACAAATAATAAATAAAAAACTTACATGTACATTAAAATCCGGCTTTGCGAAACAAGTAGAATAGAATACCATTTTTACACGTAAATATATATATATGTTTGTTTGAATTTTTTTAACGGTTGCTTAATGGTTTAGGTGTTTTTATTTTGAGGTATAGGAAAGGATATTACTATTAAGGTTTTGGGAAAGACTGGCGTGTAGTAAAAAGTGGAAATAATAAACCACATATAACTGAATTTCACTGGAGTACTTAGAAGATACAGACGTTTCAAGTTCCTGGTATTTTTCTAAGGTTCCTTATTGCTGGACCCGGTATGGCCAGGTTGTTAGGGCGCTCGACTCTCAGTCTGAGGGTCGGGGGTTTGAATCCTTTTCCCACCAAACATGCCCGCCCTTACAGCCGTGGAGGCGTTATAACGTGACGGTCAATCCCACTATTTGTTGGTAAAAGAGTAGCCCAATAGTTAGCGGTGAGTGGTGATGACTAGCTGCCTTCCCTCTAGTCTTTCACTGCTAAATTAGGGACAGCTAGCGCAGATAGCCCTCGTGTAGCTTTGCGCGAAATTCAAAATAAACCAAAACCAAATCCTTATTGCTTACGTGTATCTTTCTTTATATGGACTTTACCTTAGTACCATAAAAAAGTAGATAAAAATACGAGCTGGTACTGAAGAATGAAAGTTATTAAGTGTAAGCCAGAATTATTAAGACGGAATGTGTCAATTTTATATTCGTTTTGACTTTCAGTAAAAGTTTTTTGCACTTTTTAAAATTGCTTAAACTTAATAACCAAAAACTGTACCTGAAAACGCTTACAGGCATTGAAGAGTAGAGACCGTTACCAATATTTCAGCAAATTCTGTCAGGACTGTTAGGATGCACAGTTGTTAGAATTTTGTTTTTCAGGTTGCTCAAGGTACAGGCATGTTTGATTATAGACATATTTGTGGTATAGGCGATTTTGATTGGGTGTACTCGTGATAGAGGTGCATTTGACTAAATTTGACATACTTATGGTTTAATTGGTGCGTTTAATTGGTTATAGACGGAAGGGTGAGTTTGATTGGACATACTCATGAGAAAAGGTGTGTTTGATTGGATATACTCGTGGGAATGGGTGTATTTGATTTGATATACTTGTGTTAAAGGTGCATATGACTGGACATAGTCGTGGTAAAGGTGCATATGATTGGACATACTCCTGGCATAGATGTGTTTGATTGCATCTAATCCTTGTGAAGGTGTGACTGATTGCAGTTACTCATCGATAAGGTGTGTCTGATTGGATATTCTCGTGATAGAAGCGTGTTTGATTGGATATTCTAGTGATAGAAGCGTTTTTGATTGAACATATTCGCGGTATAGATATGTTTGATTGGACCTATTCGATAACTAACAGCAAACCCAGAAAACACTGATGTTAACACTTGGAGATCACTAACGACATTTAAGTACGAATTGCATTATGATACATGTCCAGATACATCTTTGAGCATCTTGTTTTTATGGGACAGTGCCATTTTCCAGAAACATATCTCGGACAATTGGAGATCCGGGACGTCTAATTATCCTATTTTTAGCCGCGGCATAGTGGCTCATAGAACGGCTCTGAGTTTGTTTGTTTATGTTTTTTCAAGTACAAACTTTTAGCTCATAGCTCCGTCATCTCTTCACCGATTTGAGATCTAATTACAGTTTTGTAGTCAGGAGGCTAAACCCTCCAATTGACGTATTTAACCACGCCTAAGGTATCATAGATTAATTCAGATTAATTCACTCTAATCCTGATTAAATCCTAAACCTTCAGACTTACCGATGAACCAAAAGGGGGGGGGGGTGCTAAAGTGTAGAATTTTCATTTGTAACACGAAAATAACTATTAATATAAACTTGAGGTTTAAAAAAATTAAGAAAAATAGGGGCAAGCTTTTCTGATATTACATCTTTATACATGAAATCATTAAGTCATTCCTTTGTATAACATTTTACACAAATTTCAAGTGCTTGAGAAGAACTATAACAATCGAATAAATTAAATGCTCCGTGCATCAAAATATTAATTCTGTTGTTTGTTTGTTTTTATACTAAAAGTTGCAAAACACTGAAATGAACATATAATCCAGAGAAGTTAGTTTACAACAAGAACCTCATAGTAAAAAAAATCAAGATGGATTATTATGTAGATCCAAAAAGAATTTGTCAAACATCTACACGTTGCAAGCCCTCTATACTTGTAACGTATGAAGTAAACTTTAATATGAACCAGATTGTAGTTTTTAGGTTGTTGCTACGACCCGGAATGGCCAGGTGTCTAAGGCGCTCGACTCGCAATCTGAGGGTCGCGGGTTCGAATTCCAAACGTTATAATGTTACGGGCAATCCCACTATTCGTTGGTAAAAGAGTATCCCAAGAAGTAAATTTTGTCTGGGGAGTTATATTTTGAAAGAATTTTACAATAAGTGCAAGTAAAATGGGCGCTAAAGTTGAACCTCATTGCTGTGTTTATAGAACTTTGTAATGTCTCTTTTAAATTAGGCTTCATTCAGTAGCGGACTATATTAGAAAATGAATTTTTTATCAGCTTCTAAACACTCTAATAGCTTATTTAAAATATACATGGAAATAGTTAATAGTTAGAATACGAAATAAAAATATTGAAAAATAATTCGGAAATTGCATGAAAAATTTAATTTTTCGTTTTTATTGAATTTTATTGATTTAAATTGTAGATAAATAATAACATATTATGTAATATAGGCCTTCCTTGAAAATATTTACCGAATCAAGCACTAGATGGCGGGAATTTCGATGATGTTGTAGTTTCAGGTATAGCCTCGTTTTGTTTTTTACTTATATTTATTTAATCAAACACAGTCAAAGTAGTTTATCCAAATGACAATTAACGATAACAAAACATTTGAGAACTTTAAAACGTTTTGAATTCAGTTTAAATTAATGTTTATATATATTGTTAATAGGGAGGGTTTTACAACAAATACAGACAGTTTTATCAGAATAGAAAAAAAAAAACATTCTAGACGAAGGTTCAACTAATTAAGAAAAGATCAGATTAAAAAAAAATATTTAAAATACAAATGATGAGTTTTTAAATAAATTTAGTTAAGCCTGCAGACTTACCGCTTAGGCACGGAGAGAGGGGGTTAATTTGTTGACCTCACTGTGGGGTTTTATATGGTTTATCTAAACTACACAACAAATGGCTGTCCTGTTAGACCTATAGTCCTGAATAGCGTTAGTTCAGTTTTAATCACCATTTATAAATGAGTTAATTGAGAGTGAATAATAGCTTTGCATTTCCTGCAGAGCAGTTTGGAAAAATTGGTGGGCAGAGCACATATAGCCCATTGTGTAGCTTTGTGGTTAACTGCAAACAAACAAACAAATCTAAACACAATAATAAGTTTATTAAGTTTGTTTTTGTTGAGCACAAAGCTACTGAACATGCTATCTGTAATCTCGCTATTGCGGGTGTCGAAACCTGAATTTCAGTCCTCAGATTTATCACTGAGCCACCAGATGGCGTATTACTACGTTAACAAGTTCTTCTGACTAAATCAATTCTTTACAGGGCTACTCTGAACCTGTCTAGACATAACCCAGATTTTTACAGATTAAATAGTTTATTGACCATCCTTCTGAGGAAACACCTTGAATATCTTTTAATAGGGCAAAACAGTAATTGCTTGTTTTAACCTAGCAAGATACAATGTTCGATGACGAGGAACCCACTTAGAGACTAATAATGGTTAGAGACGGCTTGAATGGGTAATGAAGAAAAAATTTAATATAAGTTTAACATAACAGAAAATGTACAACGTTTCGACAAGGTTCGAGAGGGTACCTGATGATGACAAAACCTTGTCAAAACGTTGTACGTTTGCTGTTATGTTAAACTTATATTAAAGTTTTTCTTCATTACCCATTCAAGTCGTCTCCAACCATTATAAGATACAATGTTATTATTTTCATAGTGTGAACGAATGTTGTCATTTAGGAACAGTTATCGTGTTCTGCTAGTTCCCAATTTCACTGTAACAAGCCAACCGTGCACAGGTATGGACATTGTACTTTCGGTGACTCCATTAACGTGTCTCTTTCATGACTCACATTTTGAAGTTGCTTGGATCTGTATCTGGTCACACCAATCAGGGTATTCCCCTAAATGTGAACAACGCCCCGTTTTATGTTTTTATCAGAAATATTTTTACCCCAAAGATGTTCTATATATTGGCCCTGTTTAGGGTTAAACTTCTCACAGAGAGAAAAGCAGTTTTCTAACCTCCTTGATGCTAGATATTTTTGTAATTAATTTCTTTTTTCATCAAGGGCCATTCTAACGTGTAGTTCAGAGAGGCTTGTGTAATTCTAAAAGCTCAATGTGCAGTTGGAAATTCAATTTTATCCAGTTTTACTCTTCCATGTAAACACCGAAGATCCACAAACTTGTATTTAAACATGTACGTCGCATATTATATGTAATAATGGAAATTACAATATGATTTTAGTTACCACCATTAGGTAAAAATCTTATTAAAAGTTTCATAATCATCTAATAGAACAGAGTGTCTATGATCTTACTAACGTTTTTATTATGCACAAAAATTCGACTTTCGCAGCTCCAAAAACAAATTGACAATAAATTTCTCTGTTTGTTTTTGAATTTCGCGCAAAGCTACACGACGGCTATCTGCGCTAGCCGTCCCTAATTTAGCAGTGAAAGACTTGAGAGAACTAGTCATCACCACCCACCGCCAACTCTGGGGCTATTCTTTTACCAACGAATATTAGGATTGACCGTTACATTATAACGCCCCCACGGCTGAAAAGG